AACGCCGATGGAGCCGGTGAAAACTCGAGAAAACAACACAAACTCAACTTTGAAGTAATCCTGAACAACCAAATTCATATATGTTACACACGTAGGGCTAATCTTGTTACACTGTTCAGGGGACTCTCAACAACCATCGCAAAGTACCGTTTTCTGCGAGTTTTTGGTCTTTGTTTTCACCGCGAGGGTTGCCAGGCGGTAGAAAATGCCCGGATGTCCGCCCTCGAGAATACGTTAATTCTCCGTTCTTAAGCCCTGGATTAAATATTCAGGTGCACAGTTGAATATTTCTGTTGTTCATAGTTAAAACAGTAAACAGGGCCCGAGCTGCCCGGATCTAATTACTAAACACGGGAAATGAAGACCATATCTCCAAGAAATAGTGGATGAATAGAGGCAGAGCTTTTCTGCATGTACGAATTTCACTTGCGTATCCACTGCGGCATCATTCAAACGATATGGGGGAGGGGAACCCCCCAAACAAACAAAACAGTTGCTTACAAACGTGATGTAATGTAATGTAATTTCCAAAAATATAATTTGTACTATGTAGCGTTCGTATCGGAAATTTTGTAGTGAGTTGCATGTGAAATCAACGCTTACTTTGTGGTTTCAAAACATAGGACCCCTCCATCCCCACCCCCAGTGAGCATGGGTCGCACAACGGGTTACGTCCAGGTGTGGGAATCGGTAATCAGCAAGTGGGTATCTCATTCACAGTGTCTTTAAATTGTCCAAACTAGCATATGGAGACGATATAAATGGGAATCGTGATTTTAGCGTTATGTGACGGTCCACTTGCAGAGTCAATATAACTAACCCATTAATAGTTCTGTGTTGATCACAAATGAAATAAAATGTTTGTTAAATTTAAATACAGTATTGTTTATGTAAATCTTTTGAGATTGTTAATTATCTTTGGATGGGGTTAACCTTGCAACAGATGTTCATCCAATTATTTCCAAATCAATTATATCTCACATCGGCGTGTTTATTTATAACTGTTTATTTAAATTTCTTATTTGATTTGTATATTTGTGTTTTCATAATAATGTGCTTTCATGTAGTGGACTTGTCAAGGAATTCATTAACCCGCTCAATGATATATTTTGCATAAAATGATCATTTCAATCAGATTAACGGTATCAAATGTGATTTACCAGTGAACTCTACAGAATGTGTCAACCGCGGTAAAAATTAAGATATAGAGATAATAATACCAGCGTAATGAAAAACAAACTTTAATATCACGAAAACAATACGGAAATCGAAATACTGGTTTAGTACAAAAATCGATTCATTTAACGAAGCTTAGAAGCTGATACCGTGACAAGCGACGACAATCTGATCTACACGTCCATTCCATTGTCACGAAAATCCCACACTTATGGGAGTTTTGCTATAATAGAGCAGCGAAATTACGGGATGATCCACCCCTGGTTCTCACGAAAACTTGAATAAACATTGCATAGCACAAAATATTCATTGGAATATGAAATGTACATATCCACACTGTTCTTAAGTCAAGGCAATTAAATTTTAGTTTTTGTTGTTGTTTTTTTAAATATCAGGACATACACCAGTCTCGTAGTTGAACCGAAGATTTGAAACTAGCACACCGTGAGAATCCATGAAAGTTTTACAATACAACACAATTTTATAGACAGATACCACGTTGCCCGCGCGTTATTTGCGTTATTCGTTATTTGTACTGGGGCGATCTCACTTTCATTCACGTCAACTTGTTTCGCTCACTGCACCGGTCGCGCGTTCTATCTAACACATACAGAAACTACCAACCTGTTGAACTGCCGATCTGGAAAACTCCCTTCTATATCGTCCACGGAGGCGACGTGACTTGACATTATCGATGACAGTTATAATGTGAACAGTGAGGCTAACGGGAAGCTCAGTTTGAAACCAAAGTTGGGGCAATCAGTGAGGGGTGGGCATAACATTGCACGTATTATACTATGGTCATCTACATAATCAGTATCCGCATGCACTGTTTTCATGTTCCGCCCCTATTACAACTGCCTATCTACGTCGATGGATCTTAATTTAGATACCCATAGCGGTAAAAATATGCTTGTATTTATTTCCTTGTTTCCAATTACGTCCTTGTCACGCTACATCGAAACCCATCCTTGTCATATCACAAATACTGCGATTAAAAGTACGCGTCGGACGGAAAAACGCGATACCATCCAAGAAACACGTGACGGTGCCAACTAAAAACCCGACAAATAGGAGACGGGGTATAATTTCGGATTTTTCTAACATTTCCAGTACACCGTGACATCCACGCAATACAATATCATCAGATACATGCTGTATTTCCATGCCCTCATCTTTACGTAGGGGTTGATCATTAGAACTCGGGGGTATTGTTCTTTTATCAAATTATCAAGCTAGATTTGTTGTCTTGCTGTAATTGTTTGATTTTGTCTATTAATTGTGTAGGAGGTTTCTTTTCTGTAATTATCTCTCGTAATATTTTAACAGATTCCATTTTTTCTCCTAAATCCCCCGCCCCTCTGAGCACCTAATAGTTTGTACCTCATATATCAACACGAATAGAAGCAGTGACGAAGGTACGCCAATGAAAATGAAAAGTACCGTTATCTATGCATTTCGTCGTCGTTATAGCTATCGGGTCGAAACCAAATAAGGTACAGACTCCGGTTTACAGGGTTGAGAGAACGATTTGAAAGACGTTGTTTTCCATCTTCGTTTGTTGATGAGCATTGGACTAGGGAGAAGGTTAGACAAGGGCGGTCTGACGTGGGTTTGTTTCTCACACTGCTTATTAACGGGTATAATAGTCTTCGCACGTCCACATGTAATGCTAAAATAAGGAGCCAAACTAGTGTGCATATGTCGCATGACATGTACTATCTGGAATGGCAATCAAAATAAAGAAATTTCAAATTTATTTATTTTCAACAAATAAAATAATATCAAAATAAAAGCTGTGGCCTACAACTCTGGTCTGAAGGTTTTATTTTCTGCGCGTGGAATTTGATTGTTTTTGTTCAGACTTAACGCAACATTCCCAACAGCACTGACATAATTATTCTAACAGTTTTAAAGCCCTAGATTGAAAAGACTTGTCAATAATCGTGTACGTTTTGGCGATTATATGTCTGACTGTTTTCTTTTTGCATGCTGGCCCGCAAGCTGGTGATCGTGAGTTATTTAAATTGGCAGCCAATTTATGCGCCATTTGGTGAGCCCAGCAACATGTGCGTCAATGACGGTATTGAGGAATACATTACGATTGACTGATCGCTGTGTATTCTATTGTCCGTTTCATGCCATGTTACAAGGCACCTACAAACAACAGGCGATAATCCACACAGCGGAACAGAGGTTTGAATGCAATTCGATAAAATGATTCTAAAGAATAGGCTAAAAAAAGATTGGCTCAGTACCTTTTTATGAGATGTATCGAGCTCCGTAAGGTGATTAAATTAACCTATTTTGACGCACAATGCTAATAGTAATTTCGTCATTTGGCCTCATCGACATCACCGCAATGAATACTATAGACGTCGCTAACCCTAGTGTCAACATACATATGTGATTTCGGGTTGTTTTTTTGGGGGGGTACTGTAAAATGACTAATTTTCACTGGGTTTAAATTACACTGATTTACCATTTCAGGCATATTCAGTGGGTTTTAATTCACGGTTTCGTCATTTAGATAATGTGTTCTATGCTAAATTTTACATATTCACTGTGTTTTAATTTAGCGCATTTTTCCAGTCAGCAAAATAAGCTAAATTAAAACTCAGTGAATAATTACCCACTTTGCAGTATTAGTAAAGAATACTCACAACGATGTTCACGAAAGTAGAAAACATATACGTATTTTCTTCACCTGATTATTTAATATGTAAATTATATGTGTATGCTTCCTTGTACAATACAAGTACACCAAATGCTAAGATGAAATATTAATTATTAATTTGCAAATATAAATGTTTACACATAGTGAGTGTTTTCTGCGATTCAACTTGGACTAACACCGAGTAAATGCACGTGTTTTCTGACGACATGAACACGTTTATTCAACCGCAGACATGATTTTATTGTTTCCTCGTACCCTAGGGCCGCTTAATTAGACAATTAAGATGCCCAATGAGCGGAAAAGGCAACCCTTCTAGTTCCAAAACCCGTAATTATTATATGAATAGAGAATTGAATGTTAGATAAAATGTCTACTATAGAACATCAGTTGTAGACGAAAGGCGGTTCTGAACATACTGTGGTCGCTCTTCGCCCCAGGCGTTAAACTTAAATGCATGAATATAACACAGATTGTAACCGTCAACGACTACAAAAAAAAAAAGTATAACGCATGTCCTACTACAGGCCCTTACAAAATCACAAACGGCGGAACATGAATGAAATGTCGTGGTCACACTGACAAATGTTTTAAATTAAATTCAGAATTTAGAAACGAATCATATTGAAGTTATAATTGTAATACTGCTTATAGGTTTAGATCGAAATATGTTTTAAAAAGCATATTTTGAGGCGGGCGACAAAAGTTGATAATGCCAAAGTCGCACAATTAAATTGGTCAAGTGACTATATTAGTTTAAACTATTTCAACACGCGTTTGTCTTTTAGTACACTTATTTATTTAATTTTCGCAATATCCTGACGACAATAGTGCATTTGTTTCTGCCATCAAGCTGTTTTGTCGCTAAAACCGGAATTAGTGGAATAATGTGTCGCTATCGGAGAAATCAAGTTAATAAGTTAATATATAATATATAAAATCATTTCTCTGTTTAATACACATGCTTAATTTTTTGTTTCCATAGCTACCGCCATCTTGAGAAATATTGAAACCTTGCTTGAAATGATACTATCCCCCATGCTGATGGCATAGTGAATTATGGGTAGAATGTACGGTTGCGGTGATAATCGACCTGATAGCGAAATGTGAACAAATGACGTGGTTACTGTAAAAACATCTACTTATAGTTTCGAATTGTGCAACACGTCTCAGAAATAGACGAGTAAGGTTTCCTGCCCCTTTGTTGGCACGTTGGTGGCGGAGGCGGTTGCCACAGTCGTTCTACTGATTCTACTATACCTTTCATTGCACCATATCGTTAATAACGTAGATACTTGGATCAGTTTGACCAACACACCAACAATGGGGAATGTGACCGAATGCACTATTCTGATCATAAAAATAAACAAAAATATTGAAATCAAAATAAGTGATAGCCAGTATTAAAATTATCACAAGGTGGAGAGTCCTGTGATTCGAACGTCCCTCCTTTTCTTTTGTGATTGTTTTGTCAATTATTGGCGATTATTTCAGCTTCAGCAATCCGAATTGTCATCTGTCTGAACAGTTATTGAGATCGACAAGAACAGACTCGTTTTATGGATCGGGGTGTGATTCAATACTATAAACAATGACCCGACATGCCTCGCTCGCTATAACGCGTTTCCGTAGGCGCCTAAGAGCCCGCACTAACACAAAATCGATGTAACAATTCAATTAACGTATTCGATCGGGTTTTTAAAAAAATTGTGATGACGATATTAGGATAAGTGCTCACACGCTCAAATATATGGCACTGGGCGAAGTATGCAAACTCATCCACAATTGCCGGGCGATAGGTTAAATTAATTTTAAGCCTAAAAGATTTATACGGACATGAAGGACCAGTTGAATAGATAATATTTCTCAATTAAAGGTCGGAGGGCGCTCGTTCGAATTTCGAATACTATACACTGATTTTAAATAATGTGTTTCGTTTGCCAATGCGAAATGACCGCAGTGTAAATACATTTCTATTACGATGTAACAACATTATGAGTATAAAATTGGAAATGCTGAATTGTTCGGGTTACGGACATCGAGTTATGAAAACAACGAGTAACAAAAATAACCACACTCATATTTTAGAAACCACGCCCACTTTTGCGGAACCACGCTCAAATATTAACTCGATGTTCAATACATTCTTGCTTTTGTTGAAGGTCCACATTTAGCTAACTTGAACTTTAATTATTAGTTAATTGGCAAGATAAAACGTTAAACAAAACAAACCATCTATTGAGTTCACGCACGTTATAAGAAACCGGTGATCTGTGTTGTACCTACTGGGTACATCTACGATATGTCTATGTGTCAAGACAAAATACGAATTGTGGATTTGAAGTGATTATGATATGTTGTGCGACTACGTCACTACGCTACAGAATTTCTTTACGTTCAGAGGCGGCGGGGTCTGCTCACCAACCTCGCGCCGAAAGCAATACCTTACTAGGGGGTCCGGGGCATGCTCCCTCTTAAACATTTTGAAATCTAGACCCTCTGAAGCGCTATTTCTTTCATTTTTGAAGGACAAATTTTGCTGACAGAAAGGGTCTCAGCTTGATTTTGGAGGGGCGACGCCCCCTCCCCCACCATTTTTTCGGAAGAGCGACTATGCACGCGTTGTATGGGACCCTTAACGGACGCGATGAGTCGTGATAACAACCATCCTAACGTAGGCGATGCGCATGTTCGCAACACGTCGAATAACGTGGTAGGTACATTGCAATTTTGCAGGGAAACACGATGAGTAAGTTATTTCTAACAGTAGATGAACATAATGTTAGTGTTACAACACAACTATGGTAAGATTTATTCATGGGGATACCGGGAATACGATTTTAAATGGGGGCGCTATTACAAACAAGTGACACTGTTAAACAGGAACATATAGATAAATGCTGCCTCCTAGAGTCCAAAAGCGGAATCCTACCTCCTCTTGAACGTGCTCCTTTTCTCGGAGGGAAATGTAAATGATTCACTGCACTGTAGTGCCACCAAAAGTCTACTAAGTAGTAGTTACTCAAAATTAATACTACACTTTTATTTACACCATCCAATGTAGTTTCATATCACACCATACGCTG